TGCCTACCAATTTTCAATCGACTCACAACCCCACACAACAATTCCAATACCCGGCGATCAACTACATGATGCCGATCCCTCCTGATCCCACGCCATCCAAGTTCATGCCACCAGTGATGCCACCACCGGTCACTACTTCCCAACCTACACCGTCACCTGGACCTCCTGCGGCTCTACCGGTTCGTCCTCAGAAAGCCTGGCTTACTCCCTCGCCTGACTGGACACCTGGAGACGGCATGTTTGATGTCAATCAACTCTACAACTTCAGCCTGCCCATGACTGTTGCCAACACTCCGCATGGCAACCTTCGCGACATGTCAGGCATGGATATTAGGGACGTACGCCTGGTTCAGGTTATCCACGGGGGCCTCACCAACTGGCTACTCAGGCCGTTTGCACACGGCCGATTCGTGACGTGGGAAGGCTTTCGCACCCGCACCGAGGCCTTACTTTGGAGTACCTGCTCCAAATTACTACGAAGATCGCAGTCACTCAACCTGCTCACCCTGGAAAAGGACCTTGCCAACACGCTGGGTCTCAACATTGATGACTTCAATCAGCGCATCAAGGTCCACGACCATTTGGCCAACTTGGTACTTCAATTTCTTCAACAACATCACACCTCTCTCGCACCTGCCGCCCAGACCGATGACATGGTCAAAAAGTTCAATGATTTGAATCGTGCACACGAACTTCTCCAAGCTCAGTATTCCGCATCACTTCGCGCATCGACCTCTCCCACGATGACAAACCAGAAGGATGATGCAGAGTTGGTTACACCGCCACCGGTCAACCACACACCATCCTCGTCACCTGCCAGCTCCCTTCCCACAGCCAGCGCGGCCGCCCTGGATGGCAAGTCGTTTGATAGCGTGGTGCAACCTCGGATCATGCAGTCTCTTCACGGAGTGTCGTCACCGCCGTCCAAACCGGCGGCGTCACAATTGCTCACCATGCACAGCACGCCGGATGAAGTTGTCAAGTACTACACATGGACCAGTGACCAACCTCGCCTTTTCCTCAAGCAAGCACCCACAACAACCACTTTGGCATCGCTGGTTAAGTGGGCCAATCACCCGTCCCGGCTCAACGGCAACAAGTCATTAGATTCTATGGCGACGCAGCTTCTTCAGGCGAGGCAACGCATGCCGAAAGGCGATGCACCCACTCTCGGGGCAATGGCGGCTTCGTGGGGACTAGAACCCGGCTATCTTACCAAACTCACTGAGAAGGCATTGAGTCACCTCATCGTGACCGCTCGCCTGCTCTGTGGATGAGAAGGCATCATGATGACCTTCGTTCTCATATGAGCCCGGAGCGGCAACAATGTCACGGATGAGTCCAGGTGAAAACTCGTCCGTCAAGTGTCTGCGTTGCACCTGATTGATCTTGTACTTGCTTGTTCTTGCATTGCCTCTTGTGTGATTGTCTGAGATGCTTGCATTCATGTCGCCGCCTTGTGGTAGATTTCGTTGGTTGCATCTCACCATGTTGGATGAACTTCGCCGCTGCGGAATCTATGATGATGTTGCACAATGGCAGTCGCTGGACGACCTTCTGCACTCGTTGACCATATTCTCTACGTGCTGGCACTACTGTTTTCCTGGACTACCACCACCGTCGATTCCAATTGAAGAGTACGAATCCATCACACAATTGCCGTGGCTGGGCCTCATCCTTGAGGTCTTAGTTGTGGTCCGGATAGCCCTTCAGATTCCGAATCGCGCTATGTCCAACTCTCAGCACACCGTGTCCAACAGGTACGAGCTTCACAGATGTCGGTGCGCTGCCTATTTATTGATCAGTTTCTTACAACGTCTCATTTCACAAGATCACGGCTACTTCCCGCCGTTCTTCGAAGTCCTTCACTTCTACAAGACTTCTCTCTTGTGTGAAATCATGCACTCAACTTTCGCTGACACGCGACATCTACGCTCATTGCGGGCGCGATTTCCTGATCTCTACGACTTCGTACATGATCCAGGTCATCACCAACAACCGTGCGTCTACATTCGACTTTCGCCATGGCACACACCATACTATGTTGGGGCGACAGATCAGGATGTTCTACGTCGTGAACACTCACGCAGTCGCAAATTTCTACAACTACTTCGTGGTCGGCATGCCTTCTTTGAACCGGCGCTTCACTATTGGAAGCGATCCAATACTTACTGGCTCTTCTGTGCTGTACCAGTGGAAATCAAACTTCCAGTTTCCTCGGTGTGGGTTCAAGAAAGCAAATGGCAATACCTGCT